GACATAGATTAATGAGAGGGAGAAAATGTGAAAACATGAAAAGGTGACACATGAAACAAGAACAAAACGTATGATGTAAGTCATGATATGTGATGTGAAACGATTTGGTAATATAAATTGCGAAAAAAATTTTGTGGAAAAAATTGTGGAGGATAGCATAATTGATGTTTTAAGAATTTTAAGGATTGAGAACTTTAAGAATTAAGAATCAAGGTTTGCGATCAGATGATAAAAAATTCATTAATTCGGAATTGGAATTATAAGAATATTAATGCAGAATTGATTCAGAATTGAGATTTGCGATGAGATGAAAAAACAAAAATTTTTTTAACAATTTTAAGAATATTGATTCAGAATTGATTCAGAATTGGAATTATAAGAATATTAATTCAGAATTGATTCAGAATTGGAATTATAATAATATTAATTCAGAATTGATTCAGAATTGAGATTTGCGATGAGATGATAAAATTTTAAGAATATTAATTCAGAATTGAGATTTGCGATGGGATGATAAAAATTTTTTAAGAATATTAATTCAGAATTGATTCAGAATTGAGATTTGGGATGAGACGATGAAAAATGGAAAAATTGATTAAAAATTGTGATACAAAGAGATTTATGTGATACAAAGAGATTTATGTGATAGAAAGAAATTCTTGTGATACAAAGATATTTTTGTGATAGAAAGAAATTTATGCGATACGAAGAAATTTTGTGACACAAAGAAATTTTTGTAGAAATAGGAGTATATAGTATTGTATAGTATTGTAAGGAGAAAAAGGAAAAAGGAAAAGGAAAACAGAAAAAAGAAGATTGAGTAGATGTCGAGGTTTACATGTGATCAACAGTAAAAAACCTTTTTTGTTTTTTAGCAATAATTGTTTAGTTTTTTAATATTAATTGTTTAGAGAAATATACATATATATGTGTACAAGAAATATGTTTTTTATATAGAACATAGTGAACAATATGTAGGGGAGACATAAATATAATGAAGAAGGTATGTGTGTAGAAGAGACAGATATAATGAAGAGAGTTTATATACAAGAGAGTTTATATAGAAAAAACAGATTTAATGGAGAAAATATATATAGAAAAGACATGGATGTAATGAAGAAAATATGGAATATGTTTAACAATATTTTTATGGTGAGACGAAAGACATACTTATGTATGAATAGAAGAGATATACATAATCTATATATACATACATTTTTTATAAGAACATAAAGAATAATATTTCTCAACAATTGTTTACATATGTATAGTAAGTATATATATATTATAGAACAGAAAGCAATATTTGTATGCAGGTGTAGAAGAGGTGTACGTAATGAAATATATATATGTACGTAGGAGATAGAGCTTTTTTCAAGAAAAGATAAAATGTCTATCTATATGTAGAAGAGATATACTGAGAAATGTAGATTAACAATCAATATGATAGTCAAGATGACAGATAGAAATAGATTTTTTGATCTACGTGTTTTTTCGAATAGTTATCATTGTTGATAGATAGTCAAGAATAAGAATAAGAAGTATTTTTGAAACACATTACGTTAATGCATCGGATTAAAGAAGATCTCTCGTTTATGTTCATCTATTTTGTTTCTTCTTATTCCTATTTTTGTTATTCTCATTCTCATTCTTCTTTTTTTCGTATTTCTATTTTTATTGTTTCTAATTCTTTCGATCTTACTATGGTAAAAGATTAATAATATTCTTTGGTGGCTTTTTTTGTATTAGAATTTTACTAAGATTATCTGTTAGACGATGTGCATATATTACTGAGATATCTTCTAAAGGTGTTCCTTCGAAAACTTCGTTCCATATCTGATGGAATTTCGCACCAAATTGAGCTAATGAGGGTGTGTATGTGAAGTGAACTAATATATCTCGATTGAAATCAATTTCTTTCTTTGGTTTTTTATTCCATTGCACATCTAGGACTTTGTCACGAAATGTCTTATGTTGATCACTAAATAGTAAATTCGGGGTATTCTTTCCTGTGAGAGTCAGGTAAAAACGATTTATATGTTTGTCAATAAAATTCGGTGGGTACTTGTTGAGTAGGAAGATTATTCGAATTTTGTGTATTTCCTGTCTCAAATCTTCGACGTGCGAGCATATTCGTGTTGCTCTTAGCACAGCCGAGAAAACGACATTTTTGAAAATGTGCAGTGGGTGGGAAGAATGAAATGGTAGGATGTATGGCTGAGCTGCCAATTTCCGATAGACTTTTGTCCGAAAACTAGGTGTTTCTACACTTATTCTAATATCGAGATAGTCAACCGATTCACCTGTTTCAAAAGATATTTGTATGTTCGGGTCTTTCTTTCCTAAGTCATGGAGTATATTATTCATTTCTTCGGTTGTTTTCTCTGTTGTTAAGAAAACATCATCACGGAATCTATGATATAATTGTTTTTCTTTTTCTTGTTGTTCCACTAAAGATTGTTCCCACTTTCTTACATAGACATCTGCCAGAACCTGTGTACATGCCAATCCCATTGGACCTCCTCTTATTTGTTGAAAAAACTTTGGTGCTTGTCCTGGTAGTTGAAGTGTAAAAAAGGAATTATTTAAAACATGTTTTAGTAAAATGCGAATGGTGTTAATAGGAATCTCATTTTTCACTTTTCGAATGTTGTATGTGCCTAACATTTCACAGATGGCCATGACAGCCTCATGTTGAGGTATCGAAGTGTACAAATCAGTTATGTCAAAAGTATATAGTTTTGTTTTTTCATTTGTTTGAAATGTTTTCAAATCATTCAAGAGATTTATCGAGTCAGTTAAATTATAGGGTGTTACTTTGTCAAAAATGGGTCTCAATATCTGATCTAAAAAAGATGAAATTTTTGCAACCGGAGACTTGATTCCAGCCACTATTGGACGTAACGGTTCACCAATTTTATGATCCTTAGGGTTGTAGTAGAGGTGTGGAAGTTCTGATTCTGATTCTTTTCGAGATGGTCTTAATTTTTCGAGATATTTTGCTGGCAATAGCTTTCTTCGTACTAGATCAATTAAAAGTTCTTCAGTACTTTTGATCATATCTTCGAGTGGGGATTGTTCGATCTCTTTATAGGCATTCATTTTTGACATGTATTGTGCAGATTTTTCTATATAGGTTTCAGGTTTTCCCAGGTGGAACACTTTCGATTTATCTGTTTGTCGAAAGACAACTTTTTGTTCTTTTTGAGCTTTCTTTAAATTTCTTAAGGTTTTCATCATCTTTGGATCTGTTATCTTTTCTTTTGTTATTGTTGCTCGAATTTCTTCTTCTATACGTTTGCTAAAGCGATTTACTATTTCTGGGTTACGACCTATTGTTTTTGTTTCACGTCGCCATGCGACTGCTACTTTTTCTTTCATTATATCAATTTCATCTGTTAATCTTTTTAAGGTTTGCTTTGGATTCTGTGGAACGAATTTTGGACCATAGTTCAAAATTCTACGTTCTGCATTGCTCAATTGCAATGCTTTATTGTTAACTTGAGGTGGAAAAGCAAGAGACGTGTAATGTGGATGTTTTTTCTTCTTTGATTTTGTTAGGTTTCTCTCATTCTGTAGGTTTTTCGTTCTAAAAAATGAATCTTCTTTTCTGTAGTTTGATCATGTCTTGTCCTAATTGTATGGATGAGAGTATCGAATGATTCTCGAATATATTCTGGTAGTGTTTCTACTGATTCTTGATATTTTTTCTCTGTCTTTTCAATTTCATTTGTTTTTGTCATTATCATAATAGATGTAAAATCTTTCTTTGCATGCCGAATTATATTATTCCATTGTTCTGTAAATTGTTCAATTTCATTCTTATCTAATTCTTTACTACGTAATTGTAATTTATCTATAGCATTCAAATAAGGAGGTGGCATATTCAGATTTAATCGTTTCTCTAATTTTCTTAATTGAAATTGTAGATTCAACATTCGCATACATTGTTCTTCTAATTTCTTTACTTTTTCAAGTTCATCTACTTTACACTTATTTTTTATTTCTCGTATAGCTTTCTCTTTCATTTGATCTAGAATCAAATTATCAATACGTTTGCGATTCGTTTTTCTGAAAATATCTACAATCGGATCAATATTGTTGATGATATATTGTTTGAGTATTCGAACTGACTGATGACTATGAAAAAAAATGAATACTTTGTTTCATATTAATTGGTGACTATTTAGAATAAAAATATGAATCACTAATGAATAAAAGATCGTCTATTAATGAACAACATGAATGATCATTAAGCCAATTTAAGTGAATCGTATATAAGGAGCACATATCACTATAAGTAATCATAGCCTGACGAAGATAAAATTCGAAACGCGTTGCAACTATTACCTTTCTTTCTTTATTATTTATTTGAATAAACTATATCTATACATATTTTCCTTTATTNAGCTTTCTTCAAATTTCCTAAGATCTTGAGCATTTTCGGATCTACTATCTTTTCTTTTGATACTGTTGTTCGAATTTCTTCTTCAATACGTTCGGTAAAGCGATTTACTATTTCTGGATTACGACCTACTGTTTTTGTTTCTCGTCGCCATGCGACTGCTACTTTTTCTTTCATTATGTCGATTTCATTTTTTAATCTTTGTAAAGTTTGTTTTGGATTTTGTGGGACAAATTTAGGATCATAGTTCAAAATTCTACGTTCTGCATCGCTCAACTGCAATGCTTTATTGTTAACTTGAGGTGGATAAGCAAGAGAGGTGTAATGGGGATGCATTTTTTTCTTTTTCTTTTTTGATTTTGTCAAGTTTTTCTCATTCTGAAGGTTTTTGTTCTAAAAAATGAATCTTTTTTTCTGTAGTTTGATCATGTCTTGTCCTAATTGTATGAATGAGTGTTTCGAATGGTTCTCAAATATATTCTGGTAGTTTTTGTAGTGATTCATGATATTTTTTCTCAATCTTTTCAATTTCAGTTGTTTTTGTCATTATCATAATAGATGTAAAATCTTTCTTTGCATGTCGAATTATATTATTCCATTGTTCTGTGAATTGTTCAATCTCATTATTGTCTAGTTCTTTACTATGTAATTGTATTTTATCTATAGCATTCAAATAAGGAGGTGGCATATTCAGATTTAACCGTTTCTCTAATTTTCTCAATTGAAATCGTAGATTCAACATTAGTACATATTGTTCTTCTAATCTTTTTATTTTTTCAAGTTCATCTATTTCACATTTATCTTTTATTTGTCGTATCGCTTTTTCTTTCATTTGATCTAGAATCAAATTCTCGAGACGTTTTCGACTCGATTGTTTGAATTTATCTACAATCGGATCAATACTGTCCGTAATATATTGTTTGAGTATTCCTGCTTGATCAATGGATAGTGCTTTCATTTCGTTGTTTAATTGTATTTTCATTTGTTCTGTCTTTTTCTCAAGAAAGATGCGATGTTTCTTTATAGATTCTGCATTACAACTATTACCAAGAATGTATTTACATTCAAATGGTATAATAGGAAAATCAAATACGTGCAGTTGTTCTATATATGTGTCTTTTGAAATTACAGATGTAGACTCAATTTCTATGTTTGTCAATGGTCGACGTATTACACGTTGTGTGTATACTGCTAAATTTGGTGATTGATTCAGATTATGTCCAGTTGGTGTTGACTGTGTTAAAGGATCGTAATGTTCGATCACTTGTTCCTGCTCATCTTCATCCATTTGTATTTTACTCGTATCTTCTCTTGTTCGAATATTCAAGCCAATCGGTGATAATGATGTATCACTTAATTTCCGTTTTTTACTTTCTTTCTCTTTGTTTTCATCATTGATTTCACTGTCGAATGTTTCATTTCCTGACCATCTTGGTGAAGTAGGACCTGTGCGAACTTTTGGAATTTCTCGATCTATAGTGTTGTTGTTGTTGGTGGTCAAGTTATTTTCTCTCTCATAATCACTATGATAGAAATGGATCGTTCGTTTCTGTTGTGCTTCTTTACGAGAAGCTACGGTTTCATATTCTCGCCATTTTTTAGCCTCATCTTCGAAATGTCGATATTGATAATATAGATTTGCAATAAGAAAAACTTTTTCTTTATCGATATTTTCTGGTGGTGTGCTTTCACGAAATAGTTGATTTGGATGTTTAAGTTTATGTGGATAGAATTTGATTAATTGTCGACTTGGTAAACATGGATGATGGAAATATTTCTCACTCGTTCTATGCTTTGCTATATTTTTTGTATAGTTTACTATAAAGGGTTGTGTAGAATTAAGCTGTACTTGCCCGGTAGTTGTTTTAGCTTGCTGTTGTTGTTGTGATGATGATGAATTGGTTAAATTGTTGTTGTTCATTGTTGTTGTTATTATTATTCTTCTATTATTATGTTGTTGTTGTACAGTTGTTTTGGATAGATGCATTGCTTGCTGAGCAAACCATTGTCGTTGTGCATTTTCAATTTTTTGTCGACCAGATGATAATGTTGGATGTAAACCATCTTCTATTCTTATATCATCTATTTGTAATTGTGCATCAACGACATCAATATTTATTTTTTTGGATAATACATATAAATGATCATTAAATTTACGATGAAGTTTTGCAATTTCATATCCAGAAAATAATCTTGAAAGCTTCCAACGTGGTGATAATTTCATCCATCCGATTGTTTTAATGCCGGGAAAAGTTTGACGTGTGTATTCAACAAGCCATTCACAACGTTTTAATGTAAGATCAACACCAAGTTGTGCTATATCATTTGTTCCTAAAGAGAAAAGAACCACAGAAGTATTATTTAATTTATTTTTTCCTTCAACTGATGCCATCCAATCTGCCATTCGTTCACAATTGCATCCTGATTTAGCAATTAATTCGACATTCATTAGATTAGATATATTAACTTTGAACATTCGACATTTTGATGCCATTGAATCAGATAAGATAATTCCATGTATGAGTTTTCTGTTATATGAAGGGGATCGAGAACGAGAACGAGAATGAGTCTTTTTTTGAGAATCTTGAGAACGTCTATTGTTATAATGTGTTTGATGAGTAACATATGGTTTGTTTTTTTGATGAAGATGATTTGATCGAGATCGAGAACGAGATTGATGATTTGATCGAGAACGAGAACGAGAACGAGATTGATGATTTGATTGAGATCGAGATTGATATTGATGGATCATCGCGTTTTTATAATATTGATCAGGATTAATGTTTATTGACATTTGTTGTTGATGATGTTGATACATTTGTTGTGCTTGCTGCATTGAAACAGTATTTTTTCGTGGTGGTTGTCGAAATAAAATATCATTCGGATTAATAGACATAAGATTCATATATGGTGATGATGTATTTTTATCTTTCAATGCATGTGAAATATTTAATTTTGATTGAACATTAATTGAGTTTTTTGAATGATGATGATGAGTATGTTGATTTGACTTGAATAAAGGTTTTCCAGTAAAATTCGTATAACCGGACCATGTAGTTGTAGTACCAGCTTGAAATTTATTAAGATAATTGTGCTTGCGTTGACCTCCTCCATAGAGCGAAGGTTTTGCTGATTTATGATTTGGAAGATGAGGAGGACGAGTAGCAGACATGAAATTTGGTCGACTCGAGGTTGAGAAAGATGATGATGAAGAAGGAAGAATAGTAATAGAAGACATGTTCGGTTCGATTCGTCAATTAATAAAAAAAATGTAATGTTTGAACTAACTATATTATCGAACAATTCTTTAATTTTTGAACCGAACAGTAGAATTAATTATGTAATATGATAATAATTTAATTTAATAGAAGAAACTAATGAACAATTGTTTAGTTTTTGAATCGAGCCGTAGAATGAACTATGTAATATGATAATAATTCAATAGAAGGAAGTAATGGACAAGGAATAATTTTTTTGAAAAAAAGTAAATTGTTTTTTCTTTTTTTATTTGAAATTAATCGATTCGATTCGTCAATTACGAATTGGTGAAGTTTGAACAATTTATTTGATCTAAATTCCTTTTTTGTTGATTCGAATCGATTGTTATCAATATATATATATTTATTTGTTTTGTTGAATATTATGGAATTAGAGAGGAAAATCGTTTCACATATATTTTAAATGATAGAAGTATATATATATGTGTATAATTCTATTTTTTTTAATTTGAATAAGGAATTCACAAGAGTAATGTAAGCAACTCGTTTCGAATTTTATCTTCGTCAGGCTATGATTACTCATAGTGGTATGCACTCCTTATATACGATTCCGTCTAATTGGTCTAATGATCATCTATGTTGTTGATTAATAGACAATCTTTTATTCATTAGTGGTGCATATTTTTATTCTCAATAGACACCAATCAATATGAAATAACCTTTTCATTTTTTTTTATAGTCATCAGTCAGCTGTTGTTCTATATTTTATAGCTGATGATCTCGATTGATGAGTTACTCTTGATACACAATTGAGAAAAGTAAAGAATTACATCAAGCATCATCATATGTCATCATTCTCAAATGTCAAGCAGTGAAATGATCTCGCTAGTCTTTGAAAAGTTTCAAATCTAATCTCGATATTCGTTTCCAAACTATAGGACTGTTCAATGAAAATTTTCACATATTTTACGGAAATAAAAATTTACCAAATGGAAGAGAAATCGAAAGCCTGTTTAACGAATCTATTCGATTCGAACCTTTTTTATTTGCATGATAATCGAATAAAAACAATCTTCGTATAGTTAAGAAGTCAAATATGATATTCAACATTTCGGAAAATATTTTTATTGGCAGATATAATCAACATAAATCTTAGTTCTATTGTATCCACGACAATAATCATACTTGAATACGACACTATAGATACTCCAATACCATTCAAAAGCTTTACTTTCAATCTTTTTTTTTTCATTTTGATTATTTCGATGATTTAAACAAATGAATTTCTTTACTCTGAGATTGAGTTAATATTTCTCCTGAACAATTGTTTGTTGAGTGGAAAGAAAAAGCAAGCGCTGCATAAGTATTGTAGACATATAAATTGGTTGTGTTGGAAACGATGAAAACTATTTAGATTGGCCCCGGTTAGCAATGCTAAGAGTCACATGAGGTTGAATTAAATAGGATGCGATTGTAGATATATGAGACCTGAAGGAAAGCACTATCCAGGTGAAAACTGTGCATCGAATGCAGATATTGTTTCAGATGTTCAAAATCATGTAGGAAATAGTAGAGTATGGAAGTAGTCACCGAATTGTATATAATTTAGTCCGTAAAGAAAGGAGCTTTGAATATGTTTTTATTGTTATCGATGAAAAGTTCGGTCGATGAATGAATTTAATGAAGAATGATAAAGAATTGAAGAAAAGTATTGTATATTAGGTTTTATTGCTCTACCTATTGTAGTGAAGAATAACATATGTTTATTTTGTCTCTGTAATGTATTTTGTGAAATAGATTCTATAGATGCTTCATCAAGGGATGTTTATGATTGTTATTAATAATGGGCTTTCGTAAATGGAAGAGAGAATGTCAAGACATCAGGATGTTTGGAATATGTATCAGTTTGTTTTTGACATTTTTGCTGAAATCGTTTGTGTAAATTGTTTTGAGCGTTATTTTCCAAAAAGGAAACCGTGTTTCGCTATAATGTGGCATCGATTAACAATTATCATAAATAAAATCTACATGCACTGCTGCAATGGCAGTTAGAGTAGAACAATTCATGAAGCAATAGTACTTTGAAGTGCAATATGTTCGATAGCGGTACTACTTCATTTAGAGACTAGTATGTTTTGATTGATGGGATTTGTAAAATAAAATATTTTGGAAAAATAATTCATCACTCTGCTTTTCGTTTTTCTATAGCATTATAATGTCAGGTAAGAATCAATATTGTGAGATAACAGCATACTTTAGTGTCAACTGACAGTGCATGATCCCAATCTGAAAATGCTATGCTGTTAAATTATGTTATTGAACACATCATAATTACGGAAAAAACTGTTGTGCCAATTTTATCGAAATGAGAAAAGCTGTTGCACTTCTATGGATCATAGATTACATACCCATTCTAAAACGTGAACAGTAATAGGTACCTGATAATGATATTAAAACTAAAGTATTCTATCTAAAGAGTTTAAAAACAAGTTGAACAAAATAAATGATCGAAAATGATAAATTGGTCATAATAAGGGCTAATGTGAAACAATCAGTTGAAATTTATAATGTATTGAAGCTCAATTGATTATTTCATGTTAATTCGAAATCATATGATGCCTAAATAAATGTTACGAGTAATCTATCATGCTAGTGAAAAGCTGGGTACTTGTTTGTCGTCGCCTCGCCAAAACTTTTTAATTTTTAAAAACTTTTTATTCCCAAACAGAACAAGATCATAACAGATAAAAACAGAACAACAATATTATAAGGTATGATAGAATTGATAATCAGGTAGAAAGCTAAAAGATAAGATAATATTCAAAAATTAAAAAATTTTGGCGGGGCGATAACAAAGAAGTACGAAAAGCTGAATCGGATTCTGAGAAACAAATTTAGAATTGAGGTTTGGTCGAAATTTTGAAAATTCATATGTTGAACATAATTCAAAGTTTTCTTTCCAAACTCTTTATAATAAGTGAAGCTTCTATTTTGCATGAAGACATATGTTTGTGAAACTACATTGGACGGACAATATCAAATCTTAGCGTAACAGTTGTAGATGAAAAAGGGCTGAACTCAGGAAAGTTACATGAATAAGTTTGCATAAGATTTGACGCAGCAAAAAATTGTGCTTCCTTATTGTAGACAATGTGGATTAACACAGAAGAGCAGATGGAAGTCATAAAATAAGATGCAGATGTATGATCACATATTACTTTCATTTATTGTAAAAGCATTATGTGTATTCTCTTCATTTTAAATAAGTATTGTTTTGAGAAGTGATGAATTATTTTTGTAAAATATTGTATCTAGAGTTAAAGATAGCTGGATACTACCTAAATCTGAACCAAAATGAATCTGCATTTTAAACTTTATATTGATTCGAATATAGGATCAAACTTTGGATAGACGAATTCAATCATGGACAATCTAAGGTATGTTAGTCATCGAATACAAATAATAAAGAAATAATTTCTATATTTTCGTGACTACTTTCGAATTCCAAGAAGAAAACTTTAGTGAAAGTATTGTGAGTACTGATCCATGTTCGAAAAATTTCCTTCAGCCGGATCCAGGTCTGCATTCCAGAAAGTTTGATACATTAGATTTGTATCTAAAAAGTTTTAACAAATCGAGTTAGGTCCTCAAGTTTTAGATTCAGCGATTCTTATCTATAGTTCTCCGATTGACGTGCAATTTTTCATTAATCAATAACTATCATTTTCATCAAGGAGATGTTTTTTCATCTATTTGTTCACATATATTTGAACGTCGTTATTTTTTTTGTGCCACTAGTGTTAATTACGAATTTTGTCTTCTCTTTTTTTATGACATACTTATTTTATTACTGGATATTTTTGAAAAAACATGAATTTTGAAATAGAACCCATTTTAGTTTCTATTCGTGAAATACGTATCGTATTTTTTTCTAAAAGTGTTCACAACGAAGGCTCTCACGTATTCACTCTCCAAAATTTTATCAGGCATGCAGCTTGATTCCAAACAGCTAGATAATTTCCTTTTATTACATTTCAATTATCTTAAAGCGTAGATATCAAGTAGAAAGACTTCCAACAAAGTTCGAGATAAATCTGTTGGAATTCTTAAGATTTGACAAAATCCAGAGATACAAACGTAATTCAATAAACGAATAAATCAATTCTGCTCAGCCGAGTCGAAACTATTTCGAATTGAATTGAATAAAAGTTCCTTTATTCATTTCATTGTTTAACCCACATACATTGATAAGAAAAAACAAATAGAAATGATCAGAACAAAAGAAGTACACAGTTATTAACTAACATTTTGTTGAGAAGAAACAGTCTATCCTAAACTTCGGCAGCTATTGAGCAATAGTTTGGCATGAGAAACGAAAAATAGTCTAACGAACATTTCTCTTTCTGAAAGAAAAAATAGGGTGTGGGTGTATGTCGGTGTGGGTGGTGTGGGTGTGGGTGTGGGTGTTGGTGTGGTTTTTTTCTCATTCACACTTACACCCACAGCCACCCCACACCCACACCCACACCCACACCCACACCCACACCCACCCACACCCACACCCACACTCACCCACACCCACACCCACACCCACCCACACCCACACCCATACCAACACCCACACTCACACCCACACCCACACCCACCCACACCCACACCCACACCAACACCAACACCCACACCCACACCCTTCGGGGGTTACCTGGAACGTAGATGTTTGATAAAGACAGAGAGCGCTGAAGAAAAAAATTTTAAACAGCAGTATTGGTTAGATTTGTTTTGTAAATACCGCTCATAGAAAATACAAGCAATGGGCTACGTGTATCGTTATAACATTTCGGATAAAATGAATTGAAGAAGTTGTATCTCCATGACTGTTGTGGTGATCGCGCAACTGTAGGCAGCTAACTTTCTATAATTGCAAAATCCATTGGACGTTTATTCACTAGTGGCT